GCAACCGCCTCGGAGACCCAGGAGCCACCGCAGTGGCCGAGAGTCTCGGACAGCTCGTGAATTTGAACCATGTGGAGCTCGATTTCCGCAGAAACAACCTCCGAAACCAAGGAGCCACCGCAGTGGCCGAGAGTCTCGGAAAGCTCGTGAATTTGAACCATGTGGAGCTCAATTTCGATGGCAACCACCTCGGAGACCAAGCTCTGCGGGCATTGAAGTCACTTGAGGAGCAGTTCGCCGCGCAACACATGGCGCACTGCCGCATTAAAGTATAGTAACATAATTCGCACTGCAGCTTCCATGTAGCTTAGTTTCGCATAGCTTCGCGTGGACAACTCACGTCGTTTCACCGCGTTTCACTTGTCGCATGAAAAGACGCCACGGACGAAGCTCCGTGAACTCGGTCACCGAATCACCGGCCACTGCGTCGTTTTTGGGAGACCTAGGCCCCGGCTGTATGGCACGGCTGTGGCGCCACTTGGATGGATTGGTTGGGAAGTCGTGCTTTTGCTTAAAGGTTTTGCCTTTGGGAACACGGCTTTTCAACCCGGTTCTTGTCGAACTTTGGTTTCGTTCCGCTTGGGTCGTGGCCACTTCTTTGATCTACAGGCGGGGTCTAGCCGTGATGCTTGCAGGGTCTGCCCAATCCTGTTTACTATATATATGTTTTTTTGTTGCCGTTTGTTCCTTTGGGCACGCAGAAAGCGTCTAGGTCTCTTCAGAAGTAAAACTGTGCAGCCCCAGTGGTGCCGTTGGTCTCTTGTTTCCTTGACGTCGATGGTGAGGGGGGTGTGGTGTGACGTGGAAGATGGGGATCCCGGGATCGAACCAAGCCGAGTAGCGATGCCCTTTGCTCCTACTGTGGTAGCTTCTTGTTAGTAAGGCCAGGAGCCCCCAGCAGCGTCCTTGCTACTATAGTAGCGGGACCCCGACTTGTTCTGAAGAGAAGAAACTGATGGAACGTGATCACCCACAACCCCCAGGCCGTTGCCGGCACCGATAGGTACGTGACGGTACGTGTGTACATCGACAAGATCCAGATTCCAGGCCGGGAGTGTGGAGGCGGATCAACTCAAAGAGGTGCCCTCAGCTCCCACCAGGTCCCAGCAGCTCCCAGCAGATCTACCTGCTCCCACCAGCTCCCGAACTTGATCGTCCATAATTTTAGTGCTTCATCATGAAGCTGACCGGTGGTTTTGAAGCTGACTGATGTCAATTGTCTCCTATTTTTCAGATGGGTTGGTGCATTCGTAGCCGGCTCAAGACACCAATTTGACACCGCCATGAAGGGTCTGCTTTTGTTGCTGTCTTTTCTTTTGCCTAGTTCGACATGTGCAAAAGTGCTGACTGGAGAAGTGCTATGGGATGGCGCTTCAGACATTCACAGGAAGATTTGGTTATCCCCTTTCATTTCAGAGGCGTGCAGTGGGGACTGGATGTCCTGGAGTTCAGCCAGTACATGGTGCAAGACATAGGTTGTTTCATGCCAGGGGTCATCAACTTGCTGCATGGCCTCCAAGACAGGTCCCTCAAAGAACAAGGGACCAATGGCAATTTGACCATCTACTTTCGTCAGCTGCACAGTATGTCCCTTACTTGGCTGAGGAAGGCAGTGGTTGGCACCTGCAAAACGTGACTTGCAGCAATTCCTGCCAGGCTTATGTGGATTTTTTGGGAGACGTTGCTCGGAACGAACCTTTGGAACAGTCAGTGATTGCTTTTGCTCCCTGCACTGTTCTGTGGGAATGGCTGGGCTGGAAGATGAGCAGCTGCAAGGGGCTAAGCAAGAATGCTTACAAGACTTGGATCGCAGGGTTGGGCGGCAAATCTCCGATTGTGCATCAAATTGACATTACATCCTACCCTGTTCAGCAGTCCATGAAAACCTTCAGAGCTGCCATGATGCATGAACTCGATTTCTTCAACTCAGTGAGTTCCCATGCACCTTTGGCAACGACGACCCTGGCGACAGCGACGTCGGACAGTGAAGGATGGTATTTCCTAGTGGTCCTAGTGCTGGGCATTTCATTGGTGGCTACGTGGGCAATGGCAGCATGGAGGAAGGTGAAGGCAGAGCCTTTGGAAAGACATCTCTTGAACATTTAACTAATATCAATGTGGGCACCAGCGTGAAAACAGTGACTGCTTCGCCCCTCGAATAAGTGGCTTGGCACAGCACCAACCAGATAAATAATGGCAACTTATTGGGTTTGTCCTACTATATACTTGTAACAGTCAGTAAACAGTTATCACTATGTTGAACAAGGCCTTTACTAACCATCATCATTTATGGTTACTGGTACTAGGACAGACCCAAACAATGTAATATCATCACCTTATGATTGAAACAACGCAATAACATCATAATGACACCAGAGAATGGTTCAGTCCAATGGTGTGCCACTTGGTCCCGAGTCTATATTCTATGTTTGAAAGCTCATCGTGGCTTCGACGGACAAAAAGGATCATGGAAGTTGGTTAGAAAATATCCGAGAAGCCTCAGTGTTGCTTGCTTAAAGCTCCAGGCATCTTCGGTCTCATCAAGTCCAAGGAGGTTGGCAAATCTGAACGCATGGAGAACATGTATGAAAACGTCCTCATGAAAACAATTGACAATTTTTGGGGTACAACTACGTAACGATGGTTTCTAATTTCGGATCAACTTGGTTCGTGGAACTCGACCATCTCCGATTTGGTTCGGCAGAAAATCGCACCGGTGTTGGCTATCAAAAAGGCTTGAAGGGTATGTTTGGTGAAGTGGCGAAATCATGTTCTATTAGTTTTCAACAACTGTTTTCTGGTGCAATCAGATGGGAACTGGGGGTTTCACAGTTTCACCCAAAACCACCGACTGAAGCTCACCTTTGCAGTTGTCGAACCCTGAGAGCTCCCTGGTGTTGGCCGACGGCCGAAGCACTGAGCAAAGGCGCGTTGAACAGGGAAGTTAAGCTTGAAGCTACTAGTAGCGATGGCCTCCAACCTAATAGCTTCTAGCTACTAGTCGTAATGGCCTCCAACCTACTAGTAGTAATGCCCTTGTTGCTAGTTAAGCTTGAAACAAGTTGATGTTTCCCAGACTTGTTCCACATGTTGCATGGATGTTGAACAGAAGTGGCTCAAACTCAAGTTTGTGCAAGTCCCCCTGTTCCCTATGCTTCCCTATGGTGTTTTATGGTGTCCTGAGTGTGGCCAAACAAGCGTTCACTCCCAAAGGATCGATCAGACTCAACGTATTTACAGGCGTAACACCCTTGTTACTAGTGGCGATGCCCTTTGTGACTAGCTTCTTGTTCCTAGTAGTAATGCCAGGAGCTACTAGTAGCGTTCTTGCTTCTAGATGTATTTGAAAGCATTCATGTATTGTAGATTTTACCTAGTAGGTGCTGGCCGGTGACTTCCACCTACCAAATGTTTTTAAATGCTTTTGGTTGCTTCCGTGGATGGTTTTAGCGTGTGAAGCACTGACATGTTTTGGCAGCTTGTGGTTGTCACTCGAGGATCAGCACGATGTGTTCGTTTGCTTCGCTTTTGACTTCCGCAGCTGCGCCCGGTGCAGGTTGCGCCACACTCATCCCGGTCGAAGCATGGACGCCATGCAGGAAGCCCTAGGAAAGCCCTAGGAAGCCTTGAGCCTACCATGAGGGTAGCTTCAAAAGTGTTGTTCCACATTTTCCAAGCTTTCCAGAGGTGCTCATTTTTGCATCACTTCTCCTTTTCTTGAATCATTCGTCAGGTTGACGACGTTCGAAACGGCCTGCAGCCCCCCTTTTTGCTCACCATTTTCCCTTGACCATTTCAGCCATGGCGCCCAAAGTTTGCCGGAAGAGAGCTCCTCCCAGCCACCGGGACCTGGACCCCAAGATGCGATGTCCAGTGACCACGGAAGAGGAAACGACTTCGGACAGCAACTCTTTGGGTCTTTGTGGTCCCAGCGAGCTGAGGGCTTTGCCACGCAGTCGCCGCATCACGGCCGAGGCGGCCGCGGAGGCGGCCCAGTCAAGTCCTGTGCCGGAAGGCCTGGCCATGGAGGAAGCCTTGCGCATGAAATTGAGGTGTTTGGATCGGAAGCTGGGTGGCCGAATGCTGAGTGATCGAAAGCTGCTGGGTCGCAGAGACTTGGCACAAGAGATCCTGTCCTTTGTTCAGGCGGAACGGCCCTTGATGAACACCGAGGTGGGTGGCAAGATGTTCGTTGACAGCGGCTCTGCCAACGTGGATCTCTTCTTCCACTCAGTGCCACAGGAGAAACCAAGCAAAAGCATTCAACTAGAGAATTTGCTTGCGAAAGCCTGGGATGAGAATCCAGAGGTGTGTCTCAAGCAGATTTATTTTCTTGGAGCTAGCAGGGAAGGGAAACAGGACAGGTATGCCTTCTATGATGCTATGCTATGGCTTTGGCAGAAGGATCCGGCAACTCTTTTGGCCAACCTGCATCACATCCCTGAGTGCAACTATTGGAAGGCGCCCCGTGAGAGGAAGAGTCTTCCAAGGTTGGCTTGTTGGAGTTCTTAAAGAAGACTCTCTTGCTTTCACGCCTCGTTCAGTTTCCCTAAAAATCTAGGAACCAAATGAGTGCAAGCGCTGTCCTGCGTCCATATGTAGTAGCGAACAAGTAGGACCGGAGCGAACTTCTCCCTTACTTGATTGAGTAGGAGCGGGCCAAAAAAGGAAGAACACGAAGATGTTCTCGTTTCTTATCGTCGAGAAGATTGGCATTGCTTCGCCCGGCTTTGGAGGCCTTGTTGGAGCTCTTGGCCCGACTCTGCGAAGGGCCTCGTCGCAGCCTGGAACGTGACGTGGCGCTCTATGGCCACTACATGCGCCACAAGGACTCCAACGAGGACGAAAAGAAGAAATTCACCTGTGGAGATGCCGAGGCTGGTCCTTTTTGGCTTGCTCCCTTTTTTTCCCAACGAGCTCCTTTTCCCTGCGAAATAGTAACTCAGGAGTACTGAAGTAGGAAATTGAAGGCTTGTTGATAGTGAGGGGTTGTGGAAAGACATCTTTGCTTGGCCCTGCGCAGAGCCAGAGAATTATCCAATGAGTGTGAGTGTTGTCTTGTCCTTGCCGAATTGGAGACAGAAAGAAATTGAAGAAGAAACGGAAGAAAGGAAAAAGAGAAAGGAACGGTGATTGAACATCATTTCGTCTTCTTCAGGTGGATGGCTCAGATCAGGGCCCTTGGTGTCCCGGATCACGTCTCGAGTTGGCGGCAGAGGCATTGAAGCGCTATGACCAGGATCCCTTGTATCGCGTGCTCTTCGAACGAACCGGACAGCTCTTCGCGGAGCAATTGAGAGAAGATCTCCGTGACTCGGACATCGGAATCGGGGGGGGACGGACGAGGGTGTTCGTTTCGCTTTTGCATCGTGCAAATAGGAAGCGATGGGCTCCAAACCGGTGATGCAAATAGAAGTGAAGCGACTTCGGCCTCTTCCCAAACCGACTTCCTTCGTCCTTCGCTCCTTTCGCTTTGAAAGTCACGGTTCTTCAAGGAAGATTCCTCCCCGCCCGCGGCCCGGAAGTTGGCTTCCTTGAGCTTACTGAGCTTCCACTTCCCGCATGTAGCGTCTCAGTAGCGTCTCAGTAGCTAGGAGCAAACGTCTTTCCTTAACATAGAAACCATGTTCGCTACTAGGAACAAGTGCATCGCTACGTTCGTAACAAGTGCCTTACTAGGAACAAAGAAGCTAGTAGGCTAAAAGAGTCCGGAATGAATTCTAATCAAACGTATTTCGATTTTAATTACTATTTCTAATAGCGAACATTGTTACTAATAGTAAGGCACTTGTTACGAACGTAGCGATGCACCTGTTCCTAGTAACAAGAGGCAGGGCGGCAGGGCCGATTGGAAAGCTCCTTCGCTTCGACTCTTGGAGCCACACCAGCACTTCTCCCGTGACTCGAAACGAGCGACCCGAGCACTCTATTAGCTTGCTAGAAGCACTTAATGCCAGGAGCTAGGTTCGTAGCTTCTTGTTACTAATAGGTTATGCTCTTGTTACGAACGTAGCTTCTTGTTCCTAGTTGTGTCATTGGCTTTCTGTTTTCATGCTGCGCTGTTTGTCACTCTTGGCGAACCTATCCCGGCAGTTGACAAGGGGGCACAGTAGGGTTTCCGGGGTGGCCGAGCATGTTCCGGACAAGGTCGGATGCAGAAGGGACAACGCATCAGTCTATGTGCGAAGTGGTGCCCTTTGCTTTACCACTCCTTTGATCGCAGGACAAGTGTCAAAGGTTGCTTCGTTTGAAGCCGGTGATTCGTCGTTTGGTGAATGATTTGGCCAATTGAATCATGTTGAATCCAATTTGGGAGAAAAAGAAACTGAAATGGTGTGGACTGTGGACTTGTCTTTTGATTTTGCTTTCGTTGGTTTCAGGACGCTGATCTCGGAATCTATTGCCCGGTGGCTTTTCCCAGTTCATGACTTCCCGGACTTCGCAAAGCTCACGGAGCGGCAGTACGCCTTCCGCGCGCGAGACCGACTGCGGAAGTCACTCAGCCAGCTGAAGGAGTACATGAAGTGCACTGAACGCCTCATGTGTCACTTGGATGGCTCCAGCTGATACATTTATTTGTTGTGTGCGGTGTGCGTTTCACCCAAATTTAGTGGGTGGGTTCCGAGAAATTTGCTTGTAAGACCTTTGCCTGGGGTGATCTATTCCAATGACTAGTAGATTTTTCTAGGCCCCTCCAAGAACAATAGAAAGTAGCAAGCCAAGGCCAGCAGCGCTGGGAAGAAATCCAATATCAGAAGGTCCACGGCTCTTGCCTCAGCATAAACGCCAAGGTCTTCGAGAAGCACGATCCACTTCGCTTCCAAGAATTTGTGGAAAACTTAGCCCAGCAGAAAGGCAAAGTGAATGTGGGAGCTTTACAACCCCATCAGTTGCTGATGCGCGCAGTGGCCAGCTCTGGCTTTGAACGCGTCCTGGCGCAGGCCCAATGGCAATCTCTTGTGGCACAGCTCCGCGCCGCAGGCGCTTTGTCCCATTGCATTGCGGTTTGCGATGTGTCGGGGTCGATGCGCACACCCGCAGCCCCAAACGTGTCGTGTATGGATGTGGCCATTTCGTTGTCGCTCCTCTTGGCGGAAGTTGCTGATGGCCCATTTGCCCGGCATGTGATTACTTTCCATGAGTCACCTCAATTAGTGAAACTTCCCGAGACCCATGACCTGCTGGAGCTCTACCAGTTTATGAAAAGTTTGGACTGGGGCATGTCCACCAACTTTCACAAAGTCTTCGATCTCTTGAAGTCTCGAGCTGCGCAAGCTGCTGCTCCTGAGCAAGTCTTCGTTTTCTCCGACATGCACTTTGCCCAGGCCCAAGGTGGCGATGAGGGCGAGACAACGCTACGGAGGGCACAGAAGGAGTACCAGAAGTTGGGCTTGGAGTTGCTTAGGCTTAGCATGGAACTTGGTTATTTTTATCTCAATCAGGCCAAGAACAGATTGTTTTTTTTGAATGATTGGATGGTATTTTGAATATTTTGAGAATATTCATATGCATAGTTCCTTGGTCTTTTCGCTCTTTGGCTCGAGTCGCCAGGTTGCCAGAGCTGGTGTTCTGGAACTTGGCCGCCAGAGCCTTGCCCGGCGGCCCAGGAGCTCCTGCCTTGGCCAACGATGCGGGCGTCGTCCTCATGTCGGGCTTCTCACCGCAGATGCTCCGAGACCTCATGGACCCGGACACGGAGCTCAAAGCTGCGGCGGCGGATGCGAAACCCAAGGAGAAGAGAGTGGGTGAAGAGAGAGGCCTAAAAAAAACCCAAATAGCAAACTATCGTAGACCACCATTCTTCCTTTTCTAGGTTTCTTTGTTTCTAGCGATGGCCTCCATCCTACAAGCGAACTGGTGACAGGTGTTTGACTCATTGACCCCGCGGACATCGGGTTTTGCCTCACTGCCGTGGCAGGAGAAGCGGGATCCGGTGGCCGTGTTGTGCGCTGCGCTTCGTAAGCCGCTGCTGGAGAAGCTCCGGGTGGTCTATGACCAGAGTGAGGTGGCCGAGCTCTTCCTGGAACCTGGGCACAAGGAGCAGTTTCCAGCAGAGCCGGTGGAGATGTCACTTGAGCCTCCTGAAGTTCCATCAAAGCAGTGTGTTCAAAAGCTTCCTGTGATGAACAGCGCAACTGCCCAGCTTGGCAGCCTGCTTCGCAAGGAAGTGATCCAAGCCTTCTTGGGCAGGGGAGGTGCATCAGTGAAGTCCTTGCGAGCCCAGCTCTGTCAACGGCTGTGCCCGGTGCTTCGAGCTGAGAAGAAGCTCAAGTTCAGGTTTTGGCTGGACGTGAAAACGGAAGGCAAGTACACAGCTTCTGAGACCGGTCATGTTGAAGGCACCTTGCGAGCACGCTTCCCACAAGAGGAACTTGAGAAGGCCTTGCAACTCCTCAAAGAGCCAGTGGAGCGTGCAATCAAGGAGGCTGACGCCAGAAGTTTCCGGGCTGATGCAGCTGAGGGTGAGGAGGATGACAATGACAAGAAGCGCAAGGCGATGTTGATGACATCAGAAGCATCTCAGAAGTGCGACCCTTCAAGAGGGGTCAAACGACGAAGTGCGTGAGCAAGAAGCAAGAAGGGCATTATAGGGCCTAGGGCATTTATGGCAGACCAGGCACGTGCAGGTGCTTAGGTGCTGCACCGTAGGTCACAGCAAGTGCTTCAGAAGCTATCAAGTGCTTTGGAAGCTGCTTGTACAGTTGTGTACAGATGAACTTCCCTGAAGGCCTAGAGGGAGAAAGACTGCCTTGTACTATCTTGTACTCTACCTTGTTGCCAATCTTGAGCTTCACTAGCCTTAGGTGTTTTGATGCATCAAGCAGTCTTGGAAATCAAGCCCTCGAAGAAGTCAGATCGTGTGGTGATGCAACATCAAAATGTGAAGATGAGATAACATCAGAGGTTTTTCTTTTTCATGGCCGTTCGGATTTGAGATCGGAAACCGCGGTGGTTTCGATGTACAGCGCCGTCGCCTTTGAGGCGGTGTCCGAGGATGCGAAGGGTCCGACCAGCTTCATCGTGAAGACATGTGACCTTTCGAGGCACTTCTTTTCGATCAAACCTCAAAAGAGCTTTGCTCCCAGTAGTAAGGCCAGGAGCCCCTAGCAGTAGCGATGCCCTTTGCTCCGTTCGTAGCGGCTCACTTTTCAGACGGAAGACATGTTTGTTCCTGTCTCACTCTTCCGCCCTAAGCTCTTTGTGTCAGGACCTCGGTGGGCGACCCAAGTCGGCGCCCAGCGACGGACGCAGGTGGCGCTGCGCAAGCACTTGCTACCCCAGTGCTAGTGGGAGAAGATGAGTGAAGGACGCATTTCATAGTGCGAAGATCGGTTTTTCAAACGAGAACGTCTCTAATATGTCATTCCTTTCTTCTAGATCCGTGTTTGGAGATATCTTCAACCAATGGGAGAAACGAGCTTCTTGGACGAGAGCGTTTCTCTCGGTCATCTTAGCAGGGCTCCCAAGGTCCTCATCTTGGGAATCGTTGTTTATCCCTTCAGGTCTTTGATGCAGTCATTCCTTCAAACGCAAAACACATTGAATCGGCATCGGCTACTCAGTTCTTGGAATCAAACGGTTTTGATGAATCGGCCGTTGCACAGAATTCTTTGCATTTTTTGCATGCTTTCCCTCGCGCAGGTGGATGTCCTTCTTCTTTCCGCGGAATCAAAACAGAGCCTTGGGGAGGGGGCGCAGGTGGTGGAAGGTCATCCAAGCTGAGATGAGATGTGTCTTGAATAGATTGCATCATGCTCGGAAACAGCAACTGAGACTTAACAAGTTCTGAGCACTGTTATGATGTGCAGAATGCTAGGTTTACTATGGCGTACTTTCCTCAGAGGGCGGGAAGGATTCGGTTTGGTGATTTGCCGAACTTGGCTCGAGATTAGACGGCTTGTGTGCCACAGCGCCGACACGGGGGGAGACGGCGTCAAGCGGTACAAGCGAGGCATGGGACTTGTGCTGCACTGCATGCCCATGTGTTTTCACAAAGTTTTACATGCGCGACCTTAGATAGTCATCGAGGTGGACGTCGGATGCCATCTCAATCGGGAGTTCCCCAAAAACCATTTGTTATGTCTTGGTCACGACTCCGCGCTCTTCGGAGCTTCCAAGATTCTGAGAACCGGCATTCGCGATGTTCAAAATGCATGTAAACTTGCTTCACTCACCAGGTGGACACAGTGAAAGGTTGCAAATGTTTTACCAAGATGGAACGAAATGGATACTCGCATGTTTTGACCAAACCCGTGTGTCGCCAGGCTGATGGCATCCACAAGCTCAGCCCCATGGCAGCCCTCGTTCGGGGCCCGAGGTTCTTTCACGTCCATTTGGTGTCGGCCCTGGACACGTGGTGGACCGTCGCCAAAGAGGGTCAAAGAAGCGAAAGGAAACAAACGGTTGCAGAGCAAGAATGAAGGAAGCAAAGGAATAAAAGATAATAAACGTCTATCTTCCTCCACATGAAAACGCTGTCGAGGTATCTCTATCCTGGCCCGTTGCTGGTGCGAAATACCTTCATCGATCATCCTGTAGAGCACCTGGATTCACTGGAAGGCTTCCTTCATGAGCGGCAGGCGGGCACACGCGGGGAACCCTCAAGCACTCCAGGCTGTGTCCTGCATAAGGGCCTTGGCCCCAAACGTCATGTCATAGGTTTTGGGCGCCACCTAACATAGAATGAACGCCTGAAACCGCCCAACAGTCGCGTTCTGAAGCCAGGCATTCTCCTGCCCAGTCAGTCGAGTTTCAGAGCCTGGTAGCGGAATTGAGGCATGGAAGTGAGAGACACTTGGGGGAGGTGGTTTTCTGGCCTTTTCTCTTCCGTCCTTGAGATCTCGACCATTACTCCTTCTTGTTCCTTCTTCCTTGGGGGGCCGAGGGTGCGGAGAACTTCCAAGTTTCACCTCCAAACCAAGGAACTTCTGAGCTTGGTCGACCCTCATTTTGTTTCGGTCTGACCCTCATTGCACAATACGACATGCTGGTCTGCGTCGGCCCTGAAACAGGGCCCAGCGCACATGGCTGCCCACCAAGTAACACCCACCCAAGCAATCTTTACCAGTGCCCTTGGGGTATATATCGTCACATGTCGGGCTTGACCGTCACCAGTTGCCAGGGCGTTCCGCATCTACCTCCCAAAGCGGTGTCAGAGTCCGGGAACTTGGGAAACGAAAACCGAGCGCGATCTCGCAACGGGCGGTCGGGTTGACGACGGATCTTGGTGCTGGGTGGTGCATATGCAGACACACAGAGTTCGTGACACGAATGATGAGTTGGGGGGAGGAGGGGGTGAGGGGGTGATATAGTTATGTAATAAGGGGTCTTTCCGATGAAATGTGCCAGCAGCACCCTGATGTTTCCACGCAGTAACTACCTGCATGCCTCACAGGATGGTAGGATGCTCCTTAGCTACCCTCACCACAACCCCTTGAAAAAGGGCACAAAACCAACCTGCCGTTTGGTAGAGGAAGCACCCGGTAACCAGGACTTTTGATCCACCTTCGCTTCTTTGGGAAGTTGCTTCGGGCCGAGATGTGCATCAGGAGCGCGCATGACACCCACGAGAAGTCAACGGCGGCACCACAGGCAAGAGAGAAAGAAGAGACAAAGAGAAAGAAGAACCTGTTTAACAAGAAATGAATGAATGAGTCTGAGTGAATGAATAGGAACCGATTGAATAGTGCGAGCGCCTCTTCCAGGAAGCTCCTCCCCTCAGGCATAAGGAGCTTCCTTGCGTCCGTTCGCTAGTAGCAGGATACCTAGTTAGCTAGTTAGTTTGTTTAGCCCTTAATTGACTAGGTGCCTACTGAATCAAGTAAGGGCGGGCTGAAGAAAAAAGAATGATAGACTGAAAAAAAGGATCAGCTAGGAAGACGACTAAGGATCCTCAGGTGGCTGACCGGATGTCGAGAAGTTGTCGACTAGAATCAAGATATGCCCTCACCTGTTAACGATTGCGTGGATTCTCTCTCCACTCTCCCTTTCATGGTTCTTTTCCTGGCTTACCAGCCAAGTAACTACGGTACTACCAGAACAAGTGGTGGTTTTGCGAGGCTAAGGCCTTTGAATGAGGTCTAAGCGTTTGCCTTTGACCGTTTGAACCGACTCAAGTGCATTGCCCGCTCCACGTCAATCCGGCATCGATCCTCAGAGAAGTCGTCTCATGGCGTGAGACCCCGGGAAGTTGGTTTTACTAGTTGGTTTAATAGTCTAATTAAAGTCTAATTAAATTACTAGTTGGTTTTACTAGTTGGTTTTACTAGTAGGATCCTACTTTGCTTCTAATTAAAGTCTAATTCTTGTTTCTATTAGCTTCTTGTTCCTAGTAGTAAGGCCCTTGTTACTAGTAGCGATGCCCTTTGCTCCTAGTAGCGTCCTTTGTGCGTAGTATGTGTTTTTGCTGTAAACCTTTGGGTTTTACTTTCTATTCATGTCCTTTCCTTTCTTATGTGACTTATATACCTATACCGTTTATACCTGGCCTCATACCCTTGGGCTCCTTGTTTGGCCAGGGTGTAGGCGGTACTTCTCTTGTACCCTCACGGTGTTTCACAATATCCGTTCGTCATAACGATGGATGCACAAGCCACGAGGGTGAAGGACACTCGGGTGGGCATTGATCAATCCTTGAGATCCTTAAGGCTGTAAACTGAAAGCACGGGTTATAGGGTTTAGATGGGTTTAAGGGTTCTAACTCATGGGGCAAGATTTGAATGCACTGGTTTGCTGCTTACACGCTTCCAACAATGAAACAGAGAGAAAGGTCGGAAAAGGGCCCCAGACTGTCATTTAGCTACTAGTAGCTCCTTGCATTACTAGGAACAAGAAGCTACTAGTGGATGGGGACAACCAGCATTCCCTGCTTCAAAGCTGTCCACTTGCCAGGCATCTGAGCAGCATAGCCAGGAAGCTGAGGAGATCTGAAGGGCACCATTCGGGGTGTTGCATCTGGCGACCTACAATTCTCCGAAAAGATTGCAGCTGTTTTTTCGCACCAAGAAAACTTGGTTTTACTTTCAAGCTGATGGGGTACGCTTCCACTGGTGACTCCCAAGCAGCTGTACTTCAGTGCACTCGCTTGGCACAGGAGTCTGACTGCAGCACAGTGGACACGGGTTCGATCCGCAACCTGCCACACACGCCGGAGATGGAGCCAGCTCAGCCGTGACTTGGAAAAGCGGACCAACATCTTTCGAACCAACCTGTTGTGAGCAGAAGTAAGGCAATCGCTACAAACGGAGCAGAAGGGCATCGCTACTAGGAGCTAGGAGCAAAGGGCATCGCTACGAACGGAGCGGTCAGGGCAATCGCTGTTAGGGCGAAACCATCACGGTTGAAGATTGGGTTTCGCATCGACAGCCCACGACAGCCCACGACCGCTGCGAGGTTTCAGATGATGTCACTCAGCGGTTTGCTTAGCGCCGCGTCCTCTGAGGCACGAGGACATGATGTCAGAGCCCTCCAAAATGTGGATACCCTGAGTCCTAGCATGAATCCTTTTGTGTCTCTTCGTTTTACAGTTTTACCTTGAAGAAAACACTTTAAACTCCAATATCTTCTATATATTTTATCTATCTTTTTGCAAACTCCTTCGTGTTAGATCGATACGTTGAAGAAGGATCGATCGCAAGGGATCCGAAGCGCCGCCTGGTTCCGGGTGGAGCATGACTCCTTTCCAGTCCAGTCCAAAAAGGCCCTGGGTCATGGCAATTGGCATTCGAAAGAAGTGATACCAAGTGCTGAAAGCATTCCTGACCCAGGTTGGTTCACACCAACTGCTTAAGAAACCGAAGCCAGATACGGTAAGCATCGGCTGACGCT